TAATGGTCGCATCGGTGCCTGTGACAAGTTTAGTTTCCTGTTGTCCTCAAAAAGATCACTAGAACCCTAGTATTTGGCTGTTATTTCCCAAAACGCATCGACCCCAACCTATTTGGAGATACCTTGACAGTTTATTTGCATTCCATTTCCCGATTTCCCTAGGCTGCAATGGCAATGCAGCATGAACACCCTACTGGCATGCTATCAAATCGGCATTTACAGCGACCAACAGCTAATCGGAGAGGGTAAGTGCTTCAGCGGTCGCCCCTCGGGCCATGTTCCGTTCTTGCTTTACATCATAGGATCATCCTACCTCGATTTTTGAATAATATAAACCGTACACTGCGAGCTCAGCTTCATTATAGGACTCACATGATATGTGCTGCAGTGACACTTAGAATCTCCGCGTATTTCTGGACCCGGACTATGCATTTCAACAATGCGATTGTATAGATACGCCCACCCGAATCGCGAAAGCGCGCCCCTACCCCCTATGTCTCGATCATTTCATCAGGAGCCGTCTTTGTTTTAATCTAAATAGCCTAAATACGCAATTGCACCTCTGCAGAGTACCGGTGCTTCAGTGAACTGCAGGATAGCTTCGCAGTTGCCCGACCTCAGCGACGACTTCGAACCAAAACGACCTGCAAGCAATGAATCTAAGGAGGCCAACGCGACCTCTCTGATATAAATTTCTACTTAGCCTATATTTCATTTTGTGGCGGAGAAATGGTAACCAATCACCAAGTAGGCGGCTGAGTATTCTGGAAACGCAATTTCTCTCATCATTGTCAGACTGATAAAACGTATTGCCAAAACGTCTGTCTAGTAATTTCCTGTCTCTAATTTTAGCACCCGGCGAGACGCTTGAAATAGCTGAAATGGAAGCCGGCCGGCAATCGCTTCGAAACTTATTTGGCATACATGACAGCCGCCCCCCATTGCCTCTAACTGGCCCCTACTCGCCACCCGACACCTCTCGACGCAACAAGTCACTGGCTGACTATGGTTGCGCCTGGCCATAGTTTTCAAGTGTACAAAGTGAATATTTATAAAGCCATGTTGCGCCGTTTTCTACCTAGGTTCGTGCTGGCCAAGGACTATTCCAGCATTCACTTGCTTGACACATGACTTTAGCTGACTTTAAATGACTACGGGAGCCCGAGCTGCTGCCTTGTAAACTGACTTCATTAGTTAAGGCCCGGAGAGACACCTTCCCACCATAACGTTCGGTCCGTTTGAAGTCATCAAACTAGATCCCAGAGGGAATGCGCAATGATCTTATTTCAGGCGCAACATTACAAGACTGGGAAACAAATCCCTTCTAGAAAGCCCTGAGAAGAACAAAAAATTTGCCGAAAACAGCAAACAGTTCAGAAACGTTCTTACGGGCGGGCCGAGAGGCAAGCCAGTTCGCTAGAAAAGGTTGTGGCAGTCGGCTATAAGTATTTACAAGACTGCATTTATGGCAAATAATGCTGACTGGGATACGCTGGGTAGGACAGAACTTAGCGCCGAGGTCACTGCAACAATCAATATGTCAGGTGGATTCGATAGCGGAACTTCTGTTGGAATTGCTGCCCTGAAATCACTGGTCCGTATCCATTTCGGAATCCTCACCAGCAAGGTCTTCAATCCCGTCGCCGCTTGCGTCCGTATCACTGTCATCGTCATCCAGCTCCTCAGCGGGCACCTCACAACTGACTGCCTGTATGGAACACTGCTGTAAATCGCATCCGGATGGAAGTGTACCTGCCAGCGCGGCCAGCTCTGTTAATTTGCCAGCGGCGCTCAGGTTGTACCCGTCAACTATTAACTTGGCAACGTCGAACTGGCTGTCATCTTCACATAAGACGTTGAGATGTGTACATAAGTAATCTTCTAACCACTCAGCCAGATCCTCTTCTAAAACCCTCTTGTTGAGGCGCTGCATTATAAACGGCAGTAAGCCATCAATTTCTTTAGGAGTATTTTGGCCGGCTGTTGAAGTACTCTCTGCCAGCCGTAAGACAGTCCATGATTGCAGGACTTTCGAGATAAAATCTGGTAAAGAGACCATTCGGCTAAAAGGCGAAAAAAGTTCGGCTTTACGCAAAGTATAGTTTTAGGGTAAAAAGAGATAGGCTTCATCATCTTCCATCGATAGCTGGGAGTAAACAAAGAAGAACCCGGAAATCATGATAAGGTTTGGTCTCTGTACGTATTGTGCACACGCGAGTTTATTGTTCGAGTTTGTTCCACCTCGCAGTCCAGCTCCATTATGCCAACTGTATCGAATCCCGTCCGTCCTAACTGCATGCCTGTGGTTGACTGACTGGCACTAACCGCTTAACTCAGTTGTAGTGGTATCATTTACCTGTGAAACGAGTGTTGAATAGTACTTGCCGCAAACCAACATGCTGCTGAGTACAACCTCGCTGACAATCACTTCCCATTCCAGGGGATACATTACCGCTGCTGACTGCAGACATATCCCTGTGTCCATCAGTGTGCGGTGGGTGTGACTGACCAGCGACAAACTATCAGAACGCGCAGGCAAATAGACTCGCCCGTCTCACCTACCTTAAACGAGTCGGATCCCGCACAGCCTCTCCTGGCTGTGGCTTATCCCACGGATCATCGGTCAGCATTAACAGGCGAGCTGACGGGTGGACTCCGCTGAAACCGTTTGGGCTATTTGAACGTCCCCTGTTTCGCAAATAGGACAGGGAAACCGGCGGGGGCAGAACTATCTGGTAGTTTTCGTCGGTTCTACTCGCTGATGTCACTGCAGTTTTGCAGGCGTAGAACGGGTAACAATATATCTACGGCTGCCTTTTCACATGCTACTTTGCAGATATAAAACTAACTGTGCACTTCTCACGGCAGTGGAATAAGCGAGTGGAGGATGGCAGCCCTACCGACAGTCCAATCGGCTGGAACTCAGCCGCTGAAGGCATTTTGTCGTGCTGTGGAATCAAGAGTCACCTACATGCCTCTGGGAACCGTTCTTATATCGGCAGGCTTGTTTACCAAATGTCTTTGGGCTAAGTGACAGATTTTGCCGATGTCCGCTTTCCCCGCCTGTGCGTCGTAGCAGGCCTTTAAAAATTGGTCAGGATAGTGGAAAACGAATTTAGTAGGGGAAAGAGCGTAAAAAGTAGCCCTGTATGTAAAAAATTGGAAAAGACGTGATTGGCGTGTTTGAACCCGTACGGAATGTAAGGAGCCCTAATGGCAAATGCCGGTATTGTCCTACCATATTCTCGGTACTTCCATGCCTAGAAAACGTCCACGAGCTGATATTCGCATGATGGAGCGACTCTAGAAACTGTCAGTCAACGTCATGACCACGGTTGGTTTGAGTGCCAACTTTCGAATGACAAAGCTGGCATACTGCCAGTGCATGCGTGCAGGAAAGCGGCGTCGATGTGGGGCGGACAACGGGTGTGCGCACGGAGGTTAGACAACAGATGTGAAATTTTTTATTCACTGATGCACATTGGGAGACAGGCGATCTAGAGGGCAATGGGCACAGCCAGAGAGTACCATTTTAATCGAAGTGTCGTATCCGGCTTCGGTGGTTGGAGTGCTTGACGCGCTCTGCCTTAGCGGCCACTGTCATCTACCTACTTATTTACTATACGATTTTAATAATGTTTGACTGCCTACATTTTCCAAACAGAATTCATTAGATCTTTTACACGGCGAATAGCGCGATAAGAAAAGATAACAGGAAGTGATGGGCAATGCAGGGGGCGGGTAAAGGTCATTGTCCGATTCGTCATTTTCGACGCCGTAGTCAGGATCAGAGTGCACGGTAAGCAATGCCGCAAATAGTTTCAGCGATATGAGTGTGCGAGCCCTCTGTATATGCAGTGTGAGCATGGCGAATACAGATGTTAGAGACCACAAGCTGAACGTAAGGTGATGCCGTGGGCTGTTCACGTGCCCCGCATTATAACCTGAAGATCTCGCTTCCTCTATTTAAAACGTTAGCGGGAGATAGGCCCTTAGATCCGAGAACGCTGTTAGAGACGACGACCACGTGCAATGTAGCTCCAGCGACAGGGACAGTACATCCACCTTGGCTTTGGACGTCAGATGATTAACAAAATCTCACTTAATGTGGGTAGCTGTGAACATGCATTGGACTGTGAATACACTGGCTTAAATGGCATACTGGTTAGTCGCATGTCAACAGGCAGATTTCGGTCCACATTAGACAGGATTATAAGACAGATCGGCAGCAGTGTCTTTGGTGTAGGCAGTTACCATGGCCTGTCGAACCTGAGCAATGTAATGTCGTACAGCCCGAACATCAAGCGCGATATCCGCAAGGTTGCAGCCATTGAGGGCTCTGTAATTGTCCGCTTTGCACCAGAACGAGCGCTACTTAAATAAGTTAAGAATGTTGGTTCATACGAAAGTTGGCAAGGTGCGTCCCTTGTCCGAGTGCGTACGGGTACAGATAAAGGACTGAGAGCGAATGTAGACTTTGTAGTCATTAGAAGAAAATGAACACAAAGTGGGTATTTCACAATTTGCCGCGCAGTGCAGGACTCATTTCCGACTTTAGTTTCAATGTATTTATAAATGCATTGCTTGGCCTGCGGGTTAGTATCTTATGGGGTATTGGTTGCGGGCTGTCACTGTTGGCAAGAAATGATTACCTACGAGCAGCTGCCTTTCTCGTTAATTTAGGAAATGAACGTAGGTGGTTCTGAAAGTCTTTCCTGCCAGGGAAAAGGCATTAATGCCTAAATGTAAAATTCTACGACATTACAGATATCTATAATAGTGTAGTTATGATTAAATAAGTGAATATCAATCAACTGCAGAAAGTAAATATTACGGGAGTAACTAGGGCTGTGGACAAAAGCAATGTACATTGACGCACACACAGCTGGAAAAGGCGTGATTGTAAGGCGCAGATGCACACACCCTTTAAAAGCCCCGGCGTATGGGCCATTTGTTAAATCAAAATTTGATAAAGGCTTAATGTACAAAGGTCATCGTCATTTTCCGTTCCATAATAATTGTATTCACTTTCGGACTGAATAACAAACTTTCAAGAAATCAATGTCTCGAGAGGTATTCACTTTTACTCTATGAAAGGAATGAATGTAATGGAATATACGGGCTTCGGCAAATAGCTTTCGGACCCATAAACGACTAATATTTAAACATCTGGAAACACCCAGTTTCAAAAAAGATCCTCTTAAAAGTTGGGGCTTCTCGGACGTCCCAGTATCGACTTCCCTGAGTTGTCCATGCCAACTCTACGTCTCTCCCAGTGGATGGTGTTCCGTTACCCAATCTGAAAGTGGGATCAGCTTTATTTTTGCACAGTTTAATTAAATGGTGCAAGTATTTTGCTGTTTACAAAACGCTGACCCGCCGTTTGCATTGAACAATACGAAGAACAACTCACGAGAGAAAGCTACTTTCCGTGATTTGCTTTCGGGGAACTGGGATGGACAGGACGTTTTCTAAAAACCCAACCGTTAACCCCAACATTTGTTCCCTTACAAACAACGAGCATAGATATTGGGATTTCAGAAAGTCGTCCAATGCATCCTCTTTCATCCCAAGCACCGAAAGCAATGAAGTCAAGTTAGTTACCTGTACGATTATTTATACGCATTCCAGTGGAGTATCGGATATTATATTTTTTACGAAAACGTCGACCATTAATATGTTCAGGATTAAAATCAATACGGGAACGACCTCTTAGACTTACCCATGATCCCTTCCGTTATAATTTGGCCATGTGCTTTGGAAAAAGACTTGGGCAAGCTGAGAAAGTGTAGGTCCTCAGTCTGCGATGGGGTTAGTACAGGCATTCAGTCAGGCTCTCGATACTAGGAAGTCAGGTACAGGCTTCCTAGTGCAGGGCCCTAGTGCGCTTTCTAGATTGCAGACCCTCTTGATTCCAAACATCATATATAAATATTTACCTGATCAGACACCATTCCGTGAAGAGGAATTGGTGCGAAAAATGACATTTTCATACATTTGCCTTGGTGAACGTTAATCTTGGAACACCCCATTGAAAATCATACTCACAGCAATTGAATAAAATTAATTAAGTGATTTTACGAAAGACCTATCGGAGTCCCTTCAAAGCAAGAAAAAATAAATGTCCATATGAATTTTAGACGAGGTTGGCAGAACCTGTACAATTTGCTATTCATAGTTCCTGAAAAAGTAGTCTGCCAAAAAATGATGAGCAAGTAGTAAAAAAATCCACACCAGGATTCAAAATATGATTGGGCATGCTTTACAGGAGAGAAAAACTGCCGCTCATGAAATGATAAAAATGAGGGCAGGACCAGCCTGCATGTGTCAGTGTATAACGAATTATAAACGGACGGCGTCAGGGCGGAAATAAATGTCACCTTTGAACACGATTCTAGAATATTTTCAGTAACGCATGTATCGTGCCAAGCATTACAATGAAAGAGGAAACTGAAGCCCCCGGACAAGTTTCAATGTTTTTTCACCGGGCTCAAGGCGGAATTCATTAGAGGATCCAACTTGGGCGAAAGCAATCTCAAAATGTCTAACGGGAAATTATACATCTCCGGAGGTCATTTTACTGGAGAAAGCTTATAGACTTAATAGCCTAGGCGTGATAAAAATCAGTCCATCCCGACCATCGCCCTCAGGTTTTTGCATTTCACCTCACGAATTGGAAGGACAACTGTATACCAGATTTTTGTACGTTATTACTGAAAGTCTTGTTTTGAACATTTCCGTACACTAGGCGCTGGTGTCCTAGAGAAACACCGACGTTGTAGCCATAACGAAAATAGGGATCAAAGCATAAGTCTTTCATACCGAGATTCTGATACAAGGATACCAGCTCCTTCGCAGAGAGCGTTAAAACAGATAGGATGGCGATGCAGTCGTACACGCAATGGCAGGAATTTTGGCAGCTGAACCAGCGTAAACCCCTCCTTGGATCCGAATTCGTCTGAATAAAAACAAAGAAGATTTATCCACAAAGCATAGAATTTCTGACGTTTTGCAAATGACAAAACCTTCTGACTCCAGCTGATGAGCCCTTTTTAAAATGGTCAGGAAAGTAACTAGCCGCGAAGCGGTTTTTATTGCTACAAGCTTAAGCGCATCTGCAATAGACTGGGAAAATCTCAGGGTTGGCGATGCGTCAACTTCCTTCAGCTGTAAGTCGATTAACCTCACACTGGACTTCCTTCTTGCACAGCATGTAATGACACCAACGGGATTTAGAGAAGTAACCAAAAAGCAAATTTCTTGGACCTTGTTTTCATGGAGGACTTCTCTTACATTGGTTAAGCGCATTTCACTGCACCGCTCGATAAGAATGACCATAAAAAGCTACTGTAGTATTACTCGCTTTATTTTCACTGTCAAAATACAAGGAGAGGCCAAGGAAATAAATGAAAGACAGAAGTTAAAATGATGAAGAACGAATTGATGTCCGTGGATCGACACTGCACAAGGGAGATTCGTAGGACGACTGAAGATCGTTTAAGATGAGTTCGTTAGAACTGATTCGACCCTGTTTTTCAGGGAATTTGCTAAAAACGACAAACTGTCCTGCTCGGTTTACAAGTGATCTTAACAGGCAGTTAAGGAGGAGAAATGGAAACCGAATATATCCAGAGAAACTTGGTTGCCAGAACAAATTGACGAATTCCCCCACCAAAGAAATGCGGTCGGAAAATAGATTTGCCGTGTAAAGAGGGACTATATTCAAAAATTACCCAGAAACTGAACGGCCTTCCAAGATTTTATTCCAGTGTGTGAACAGTCGACTTAAATCAAAGATCCAAAGGCAGTATCTAAGGGTACCACTGTACGTAAGTATGTATGGATGTGTGTATGTATTTGTGTATGTTTGTATGTGGGGTGTAGGGGTGTCCAGCGGTGGGTTCACGTGATGGTCGTGGTGGTCGCTCACTTGCTTGCAGGTGAGGCTACGCCTAGCGTCCATTTACTGGCACCCAACTCTCACCTGTAACTCAACGTAGCTGGAATCTGCTCGACGGCCACACCTCGGGCAACCGCCTCGACCGGCGGGCTAAACAGGTGAGAGCGCTGTGCGCTGGTGCCGCGCGCAAAGTGCACTGCGGACCCCGCTATGTGTTTGGTCGGATGAAGCGTTGCGCCGGCGTCGCTGAGACGAGGCTCTGCCCGGTACGCCTGTGGACAGCTGCTGCCGGGATAGGTTTCCGCATCGTCTTCGCTGAGCGGCGCCCACCCACGCCGACGGAGACCGCGGACCTTCAGCAAATACGGTCGTTCTCCACTACAAATATAAAGTCGTGGCTCCATAGTGAGATTCGGTTGCGCCAACCAGGCACACAGGCAACCCGATTCAGGGGGCACTGCCTGTCCCCAAAAAGAGTAAGGGCCTAGAAAAGGTGGCCTAAAAAGGTGCTGGGCACCACGCCGTCTGCAGGCTAACCATGGCCGCAGATGTCCAAAACATAGTCAAAACAATCAAAATCGAATCAACAACAATAACAACAACAACCATACTCCTTCTCCTCATCCTATCTCTTCTTACTCTTCCGCTTTCTATTCTTCTGCCTTTTCTTCTCCTTCGTCATCTTCTTCTCCACCTCCTTCCCGTCGTCCCACTCGGTGTCCCCAGACTGGCAGGGTGAGTTCGCTCACTCTGGCAGTCTGAAATGTTCGTTCCCTTTAAGACAATCCGAGGAGCAACCGACCGGAACGGAGGACGGCGCTAGTGGCCCGGGAACTGACGCGCTACAAGGTGGTCATCGCCGCACTCAGCAAGACCAGATTCTCAGACCAAGGCCAACCAGAGGAGGTGGGTGCCGGCTACACGTTCTTCTGGAGTGGGCAACCTAAGGCAGAGCAACGAGACGCGGGTGTCGCCTTCGCCATTCGGAACGACATCGTGGGACGACTGCCCAGCCTGCCGCAGGGAATCAACGATCGCCTGATGAGCTTCAGTCTACCTCTCCGGCGTGGGGGCAAATTCGCCACCATCATCAGCGCCTACGCTCCGCCGATGACCAGTTCCGACGCCGTCAGAGACAAATTCTACGAGGACCTGCACGCCCTCTTGGCGACTGTGTCGAAGGAGGACAAGTTGATTGTCGTTGGTACCTTCAACGCCCGCTTCGGCACAGACCATGCTGAATGAAGAGGTGTGCTGGGTCCCCATATTCTCCGTGGCTGCAACGACAACGGCCTACTGCTTCTCCGCACCTGCGCAGAACACCGCCTTATCCTGACGAATACGTTCTTCTGTCTGCCGGAGCGAGAGAAGGCCACCTGGAGGCATCCTCGATCGCGTCAGTGGCACCTGCTGGATTATGTCCTCGTCAGGAGGCGAGACCGACCGGACGTGCTAGTGACAAAAGCGATCGCGGGTGCTGACGGGTGGACTGATCATCGCCTCGTCATCTCGAAGATGCGTATTCGCCTACAGCCTCACAGGGGACCACAAGGTAAGCGATCCCCAGGTAAGCTGAATATTGCCTTGTTTTCTTTGCCCGCTCACCATCTCCATTTCAGCAATGAGCTAGCTCAACGGCTGGACAACCTTCCTATCGCTGCCGCTGACGACGCCACCATTGCCGAGAACGTCTCCGTGGAAAACCGCTGGTGTCAACTGCGAGACACGGTCCAGTCGACGGCGCTTGCCGTGCTCCGTCACGCTACCCGCCAACACCAGGACTGGTTCGACGACAACGGCGCCGCCATCAGAAATACGCTTACTGAGAAGAACCGCTTTCACAAAGCCAAGGTAGATCACCCCACTGAGGATAACAAAGCTGCTTTCTACTGCAGTCGCCGCCAACTTCAGCAACGACTGCGCGAGATGCAGGACGCCTGGATTGCTCGCAAAGCTGAGGAGATCCAAGGGTACGCGGACCGTAATGAGTGGAAGAACTTCTTCTCTGTGATCAAAGCTGTCTACGGTCCGCTGACAAAGGGCACTGCTCCTCTCCTCAGCGCTGACGGCAACACTCTCCTGACTGAGAAGACGCAAATCCTACAGCGATGGGCCGAGCATTTCCGAGGCGTCCTCAACCGCCCCTCCATCATCTCCGACGCCGCCGTCGAGCGTTTGCCGCAAGTGGAGACCAACGTGGACCTCGACCTCCCGCCATCTCTCCAGGAAACCAACAGGGCCGTGCAGCAGCTCTCCAGCGGGAAAGCACCCGGATCGGACGCAATCCCTGCTGAGGTCTACAAGCACGGAGGTCCCCTACTGATGGATCACCTGACTGCGCTCTTCCAAGAGATGTGGCGTCAAGGTGAAATGCCGCAAGATTTTAAAGACGCAACCATCGTCCATCTCTACAAGCGCAAATTGAATCGCCAAGTCTGCGAAAATCACCGTGGCATCTCCTTGCTTATCATCGCCGGGAAGATCTTCACTCGCATCCTTCTCAACCGCCTCAATAACCATCTGAAAAAGGGCCTTCTGCCGGAAAGCAAATGCGACTTCCGTCGTCATCGTGGGACCACGGATATGATCTTCGCCGCCCGTTAACTTCAGGAGAAGTGCCAGGAGATGCGGACTCACCGGTACTCTACCTTCGTGGACCTGACGAAAGCCTTCGACACGGTGAATCGTGAAGGACTGTGGAAGATCACGCAGAAATTCGGCTTTCCGGAGCGATTAACTCAGATGGTGCGTCAGCTGCACGACGGTATGATGGCGCGATTCACGGACAACGGAGCTGTCTCAGAGGCATTCGCAGTGACCAACGGAGTGAAGTAGGGATGCGTGCTGATGCCTACTCTCTGCAGTCTTATATTCTCTGCCATGCTGATGGACGCCTACCGCGACGAACGTCCCGGGATCCGCATCGCCTACGGGACGGACGGTCAGCTCCTGAATCAGCGGCAGATGCACTTCCAATTGCGCGTATCCACAACCACAGTTCGCGAACTTCTCCTCGCCGACGACTGCACCCTGAACACCACCTCGGAAGATGAGATGCAACGGAGCATGGACTTGTTCTCCGTCGCCTGCGAGAACTTGGGTGTGGTTATCAACACGCAGAAGACGGTGGTGATGCAGCAACCGCCACCCAACTCGGCCACACCCCTCATAGAACCGCAAATCAGTAAGAATGGGACCCAACGGCATGTGGTGGAGAACTTCCCGTACCTGAGCAGTACCCTCTCCCGCAACACCAAAATTGATGACGAAGTCGCCAACAGGATCCCGAAAGCCAGTCAAGCCTTCGGCCACCTCCAAAGCACAGTTTGGAATCGTCATGGTCTCCAACTGAGCACGAAGCGGAAGATGTACAAAGCCGTCATACTGTCGAAGCTGCTGTACGGAGCGGAGACTTGGACGGTGTACACAAAGCAGGCACGCCGACTGAACCACTTCCACCTCAGTTGGTTTCGTCACATCCTGAGGCTGAACTGGCAGGACCGCATCCCCGACACTGATGTGCTGGAACGGACGGGAATCCTCAGCATCTGCACCATGCTGAGACAAATGCAGCTGCGCTGGAGCGGCCACCTGGTGCACATGGACGACGAGCGACTACCCAAACGACTCTTCTACGGAGACGTTACGAGGGGTTCTCACCGTAAAGGAGGCAAAATTCGCCGTTACAGGGATACCCTGAAGTCCTCCCTGAAACATCTGCAAATCAACACGGCCAACTGGGAAGAGCTCGCACTCGATCGACCAACCTGGAGGAGAACAGCGAAGACGGGCGCTGCTATCTACGAAGCCAACCGCATCGCTGCCGCCAAAGCGGAACGTGAAGCCCGCAAATCCCAACTTCGCTCAGTACGCAACGCCGCCGCACAACCGCTTCCAACGTCTCCTCGATGCCAACGAACATTCCGGGCTCGCATCAGACTTGTTGGACATCTGTGGATCAACTGCGCCCCTCGAACTGCACTAGCCATCGTCCCCCCGTCCGCACCTTCCTAGTCCTCTCCGCCGGCAAATACCTCTGACTACTCTACTGCCCCGCCACCCCTAACCTCTTCCTCCTCCTCCTCCTCCTCCTCCTCCTCCTCCTCCTTCTCCTCCTCCTCCCCACTCCTCCTTCTCCTCCACTACCACCACCACTACCACCACCACCACCACTGCCCTTGCGAAGGCCGCTCAGACGACTGCCACTCACGCAACAACCGGCACCACACTCACTGCCTTCGACTCCAGCGACGAGGATCAGGACTACACCTGCCCCCACTGAGACCGCACCTTCACCTCACACATCGGCCTGGTCGGTCACCTGCGAATCTATCGCACAGAGACTGGCCAACCAGTGCCTGGAGCACCAACCTACACCCACCGTGCCCGCCTCCACTGCCCAAACTGCTCACGCACCTTCACGCATCACATGGGTTTATTCGGCCACATGCGCATCCACGAGAGCTGAATTGACCGCACTCCCGACAAACCCACACCCAACTACCACCTCCTACGCAAGTGGGAAGCGTGCATCTCGACTCGGTCCCCATGCGGTTTCGGTTGCACGGGTGACTTGATTTCGAGACTATCCCGACACGTCAAGCGTCGTGGATAGGAAGGTTGCTGATTGACGCCCGCTCTCGGTTCACGCAGTTCGTCGCGTTGTGTGTCTGTGTGGAGTGGCGGACTGGTGGGCTGGGCGGCGGGCTGAAAAAGCACCTTCCACGCCCCTCTCACGCAAGTGAGAGACAAGTCGCTCAACCCCCGTTGCATGAAATCCTGGTGTTTGTGTGTATGGGGGGCCAGGCTGTGCTGTGGCGCGCGTAGTCAAGGTAAGTCGACCATAGCAGCCACCGCGCATATTTCCCACTCCAGTCTGTTGACCGGGTTGGACAGCGGCTGGGGTGTGGAAGTGAGAAGGGAGAGTGAGGTAGACGACTTAGCGCTCTTTCCTCACTATAAACAATCTGACGCGCTTGAAGCTCTCACGGTGCGCTAAAAGCCGTGGCTTGGAAGGTTGCCAACTGACGGGGTAACTTGGACCTCCTCCTTGACTGGTGGTGGCCTGAGAGTCAAGCTGCAATGGCTCCTTTTTAATATGGCATTTATGGCACTCCCATCACAGTGTGGGATCCGAGCCAGGCGTTGGCGGCACGTCCAGGTGCGACTTTGGCCCTGCCAGCCTCCAAGTCTCTGTTGTTGGTTAAAGTCCTGGTCATTGGCTGTGTGGACCAGGGGGTGTGGTGGAATGCCAAGGTGAGGATCCGTCCGAGCCAAATCGAATTCTGGCAGGCGCAATCTTGCGCATTAACAAATGCCAACATTTAGATGGTGCGCTGGCAGATCCTGTTGTCGACAGTCGTCGCACAATATGGGACCACTGCTATCCCCCTTTGAATTGTCGGTCAAAATCCTGGTCATTTGTTGTGTGGACCAGAGGATGCGGAGTGGAGTGCCAAGGTGCGGAGTAGAATGCCAACGTGCAGATCCGTCCAAGCCACCCACCTGCGGCCTCCCCCATCTCCGGTCTTCTTGAAGCTGTCTTGACACCGGGCTCAGGGGGGGTAGATGCAGGGCAAGTCTACAGACACTATAAACTCCTGCGCAAGTCACCGTCCCTGCTCCCGCCATCTGCTGCGGACATACAGTGGACATCGTCGAAATCGACGGTCGAACTCCCGATTTATGTGTGTATGTATGTATGTATGTTTGTAGGTATGTATTTATGTATTTATTTGAAGGTAAATACATTCTTTGCGAAAGGGAGAAAACTCTTCTTAGTAAATCTTCGACGTTGGTTCCCCGTGTCGTCGTCAGACTCGAGTAAATGTGCAAAAAACAATTGACATTTCAAACGTGCCGAGGCATAAATATTCGTGAGCGGCCGTCGTGTGCGCCAGTCTGTACTTATTTGCTTTCGTCTCTTCCATTTTTCCGAGATTTTTGTACGGGTCATCTAACCCGATATACCCATTGATGCATGACTCATCGGAGTGCATGGCTTCAAGAAACTCTCGGCCTTTTCTAGATCGGCAAACTCCGGTGACCCGAGTTTTGTCTCATGCGAAAGCGTGGCCAGTATCCAAAATGTGCATGATCATTTTAGACAGGTGGTGTCACCTCTTCACTGTCAGTTGATGTTCTTGGATCCGTATGGAGCCAAAGTTTCCCGTTTGGCCATAATATGTGGCATCACAGGCGTCACATGGAATCTTATAAACGACCTCTTCTTTATCGAGGTAGCCAACCCTATCCTTAAGGTGTACAAGCTGAGTACGTAAAGTGATCATCGGCAAGCGTATTTCAACAAGTCCAGTCACATTCCTGATGTAAGAAAGGATTCGTCAAGTCTTTACTCTGGATTTGATTGGAATTTATGTATGCGTGCGAATTTATCGGACAGAGACTGCCGAACCGGTACGTGGGACACCAACCTATACCCGCCGCACCCGCCTCCACGGTTCACCGTGCCCTCGCGCATTCCCGCATTGCATGGGTCTATTTGGCCACATGCGCATCCACGAGAGCGGAATTGACAGCAGTCCCGACACACCCACCACGGCCGGCACACATACCATGTCTAGATCCTCCCACACTCCGTCGCCCTGTGCATCCACCACCACCATCACCATCTCTGTAACTAATACCAACACCGTCCAAGCCATCCACCTGCGGCCTCCCCATTTCCGGTCTTCTTTACTCTGTCTTGACACCGAGTTCAGGTGGGGGAGGAGAAAGTGCGGTAGATGCCGTGCAAGTCTACCGCAACTATAAACTAAATGACATTACCGACAAAGACAAGGGCGATTGGAAGAGTCATTTCTGGCTCATTAGCCGTCATGGGCCAGTCATACCCAACCCCGAAGCGTGAAACACCCGAGACTCGAACTCGCGACCTGTTAATTAGAAGTCCACGCCTCTGACCACTGGGCCACGAGCCCATTGCCCTGCCGGTTTTCGATCGGGGACGCAGCAATATGAGAGCAGGGACGTTGATTTGTGCGAAAATTTAGTTTACACAATGGTAGGGGACGCTCATCGATCGTTCCTACAAAATTCACTCGTTTCTTTGTGCCCCTAAGTGTTCCACACTTAGGGGTTGGGCATGACTGGCTGATAACGGCTCATAAGCCGGAAATGGCCATTCCAGTCTGCCTTGTCGGTAATGCCATTCTGTCTATATCATGCGCTGTTCTGCGGCTGCTGATTGGGCTCGAGAGAGAGCCACAAAGGAACGAGTGAGTTCCGTAAGAACGATCGGTGAGCGCCCCCTTTGATTTTTTAAACTAAATTTTTGCACAAATCACCGTCCCTGCCATCCTATCGCTGAGGAGCACACGGTAGATATCATGGAAACCGACGGTCGAACTATCGTATGTACGCGTGTATGCATGTATTTGAAGGACTAGAGGTAGGATCCTCGATGACACTATTTGTCTACAATGCTTTCGAAGCTTCGCAGTCAAAATAGTGTTGCAGATATTTGCAATGTGATTGGATCACAGTACAATCGTCATGATAAGGAAGCACATCTGCTCCCCGTAAATCAGTACGAAAAGTTTGTGTATGACAAAGTGTTCTACGTAACTGGCTGTGATCAGTTGTGCTGTAAAAGCTGGTTTCTGTCAAAAACCAAGCGAGCAAGTTTTCTTGAAAACTTGCAAACTGTGTTGACCGTCGTGATCGCATACGGTTGCGAGTTCCGTGGTCGGAAACCCCACTGGCTGAATGAAAACCTCCTACTGTATAGCCGCGCGCGCTTACTCTTGGCTTTGTAAGGATGATCGCGAAAATGATTTTTTCGAACAAACCAAAAAAATGTTCACCGTATTTAGTGAATAACCTCAGCCACGGACAATCAGGAATGTCCAGAGTAGACTGCAGTTTAGCTGCATATAAGAGAGAGGGCATAGGCCAAGCACATTCAACCTCTCCTGGTAAGAAAAATGCTTTAGAACGTCAACCATCTTCGTTGTTCTGCGTTGCACCAGTTCAACTAAGTCAATATCCTTCCTCATCCATTGTGAAGCTGCCGGCATTCCATACTCCAGATGGGGTCTTACAAAGATGCCAAAACGTCGTTCGAAGTGTTCGAGAGGGAATATTTTAAATGCACGTCTGATCCACTTTAAAGTACTAGTTGTCTTCTGGACCATATTTCTACAGTGTTCTGATGGCATTCGATTTGTGATCTTCCATACCCCTAGATCTCTGTGTCTTTCTACAGTTTCTAACGCCATCCAGTTAATATAGTACTGATGTTTAGGAGTGACATTTCGGCGGGCGTTTAGGTGTAAGGCCACGCATTCGGGCACATTAAACATCAAAAGCCATTTGTTCGACCAAACACACACTTTGTCGATATTCGACTAAAACTTCTTTGCGTTATCATCGCACTTCACTTCACTTCAAAGTTTAATGTCGCCGACGAACCTGAGGGTCTCGCAGTCGAGTTCGCTGAGGCAGGCATTAACATAAATCACGAAGAGTAGTGGGCCTAAAGCAGAACACTGTGGGACACCATTTTCCACTCTTGCTCATTCCGAGGCAGAGCTACCAACAACGACACTTTGCACTCCGGAGGACAGAAAACACTCGATCCATTTGAACATGCTTTCTTATATTTCTGCATCCCATATCTTCTCTAAGAGAATTTTGCGTGGGACATTTTCGAAGGCTTCCTTGAAGTCAAAAAATATGACATCCACTGGATAACCCTTGTCGGCAGCTCTTATCCATTTCTCGTGCGAGTAAAGAACACTCGTTAGGCAGGAGTGTCCTGGGCGAAGGCCATGTTTGGCGTCCCAGGGCTCAGCTCCAAAGTCTTTTTATTACCCCTTAAATATCCATATAGCATTTTCGGATTTTTCAACAAATTTTGTAGTATGTTCAGTTGGAACTCCCTTCGCAGCTTGTAAGCCTCACTTTTACAAACGTTGTGCCGCTGCTTATATTCCCGTAAGTGTTCTGCGGAGGCGATTTCTTCGGTAACGTTCCCACAGGCGATTTCTTTTTTGAAAGTGGCATTTAAGTTCGAGTTGATTCATTTTGGCTGGTTTGTAATTATCCTTCTTCTGATATAGCAGTTGGGAAAAACCATCTCTTCATTGTCAGGAGCAAATCCATGCTGACTTGCTCGCTCTCTCAACGTGAAGCTCAAAATGGCTAATGGAATTCTCTCCGTCTAAATGTCGCTGTATGTGTTTTTGACTTGACAGGTTGACTCATGCAGTGCTCTTCAAAGGCACACCCATGAATGAATGTACCACCACCAAGGATTTAGTTTTAAGCCAAACAAATAATTTTGATCTCTCGCCACAGGCTGACAGAATTACAGCCAAAGCTGCCCAGATATGTAGCTTTATTTCTTGCAGTTTCTATCTTCCCGAAATTAAATTAAGACTGTATTGTATGTTCGTACTTCACATTCTTGAGTTTCTTTACCCATTGTTCGGTTTGATGAACGAGGCTAG